CCCCAAAACCCCAAAACCCCAAAACCCCAAAACCCCTCAATTTATCCCTGAAGTTGAACAATGGTAAATCTTTTCTGCTAAATTTACTACTAAATTTAAGCATTCTTCATTGTGTTCAGATCTAGTGAGCTAAACTTCGTCAAACCGACCTAATTATTCAATACAATCTTAGGAGTCGCTTCTATACTTTTCATTTTCATGGATAATTTCTTGGCTCTAAAGACAGGGAGTCTCCTTACGCCTCCTTTATTCTCTGAGAGCATGCTCATGCCCTTGGCAGTCTTATCAGAATCAGAACTAACTGCATCTGACTTCAGACACAAATACTTTGTGTCTGCATTTGAATTGTTTCTCATATGAGGTTGAGGGATGTTATTCTAAACTATTATAGGCTGACTTACTCCTGACTTGTAAGTCAAGTACTCAGGGTAATTCTCTTTTGATATTCTGTTGACCCTCCTATTTACATCTTTGCACTTTGGCCTTGATTTTTTGTAATCGGGAAAGAGATTTGTCATGTGTTAGGGTAGCATTTGAAGTGAACTTTTTAGACTTTTTGAAAGATTTTGGCACTAAGGGGTGCGGATTTGTGGTTATTTTAGGTTTTGATTTTTTGCTACATCTGGAGTTAGACCTTTTGTAGTAGCTTCTTTTGCTACTGTTTTCTGTTTCTCTGTAATCGCTGAATTTTGAGTCTTTTAAGGATTCTTCATATTCGTCATAGTTGGATCCCCTATGAAATCATGAGATGCTAAAGCTACCTCCTTGATTGAGTGTTGGAACTTTTGAAGATTGAGGTTATGCTTGATTTATTTTTCCATCTTTGGTACTTGTATCTGTAGTTCTCAATAGCTTTTTCATTTCAAGCTTTAGGAGAGGATCTTTGTGTTGTATCTAATTTTTAACTAAAATGGTACCGTTTGGGGATAATTTTCTTGAGAATCATTTTAAATCTTTGAAATTTTGCTTATTTTCTGAATGATGTCTTTCCAAATTCACCGTTAGATTTATAGTTTCATGGCCACTCAACCGATCCTTTTGGTCCAAATTCTAAGTTTGACTTCATTCTTCTATTTTTAGAAGGATTCATTGCCAAGAATGTTTGGGAATGATTACTCAACTTTTTCATAAATTTTCTTCGATTATATCCGATTGGAGAATTTTTCTGGGTAGAAACTTTTGGTGAAACTGATCAGAATTGTAGCTCTGGTTTCTTTATAAAATTCTTTGGCTTGCTTTTTCTAACCTGAGAGTTAGCTTTGACAAGCCTCATAGTGCTGGTAGCATCAAACTTAAACAGGCCTTTGTCTTTAGCCTTCTTCCTGATACTTTTTAACTTATCTTCTTCCATCGAGATGTTGAATTTAATAACTCCATATGAACTATTAACTGATTGTTTTGGTCAGAGAGGAGGGCTGTTAGTGATGTTTCTTGATTCAAGGGCTCTGTTATATTTCTTGACTCCACTTGATGCAAGGTAATCAGCACTTGGGGATTCCATATCTTCAGATTTTCGAAAGTTCCTGATGTTGCAAATACTCTTAAATCTTCTATTTTTCTTTTCAGTATCTGCTGCATTGCTTTTCGGCTGGAGGTCATTCTGGAAGTTCTTTTTGATATCAGAAATGTTGCCCATTGAAGTAAACTTTTTATGCCTCTTAGCTTCTCTGTAAACTTTGATTTTGTCATAATTGATTCCAGGCATTTGCATTATTCTGGAAGGAGAGAAGAACTGAAAATTTAGAATGTGTCCCTCTTCAGGTTTATCCCATGTTTCTTCATCAAAATTAACTTCGTTAATTCTGGTTGTGTATTGTTTGAGTCAATGGTCATAGTCGTATTTTATCGGATTGGCATAAGCTTTCTCTATGGAGTCAACAGTTGGAAATTTATCTTGCTCCAGCATCTGGATTATTTGGATAAATTTCTTAATATCATTATCTCCTCCTCAATTAGGTTTGTACGAACTTTCAATGAATAGATTGAAAGCCTGTGTATTTGTCAAATCTTTCATAAATTCTTGTTCTTTTTGAGGATATGAGCTAAAATATTTCCGAAAGTCGAAGATTGCTTCTGCTCTTAAGACCTTAACTTTACTTATTTCCTCTTCTGTTTTGTAGTATCCTAGGTAATTGTTTATTGTTGTGATGAAGAAGTTTAGAAATAGCCTTTTTGTGTGGAGCTCTACATACTTCCAAAAGAGCTGGTCGTATTTGAAAGAGTGTAGATGAGGATATTTTGTAGTAAATTCTGCTAATTTCTCATCCTTTGATCCTATTAAATTTTCGATTCCTTTGACCAGCATCATCCTCTTTTCAACAGGTAAAGAGGTTTCATGATGGGTTTTTATGTAATCTTTATCTATTTCTAGTATTACAGAGTCTTCAAAGAAATATTCATCAAGTTTGGATTTGTCAAGGTTGATCATGATGTCCCTATCCCATATTTTTCTTGAAAATCCGTAAATGAATCCTATTGGAGAGTCCATAAATTCTAAACTGTTTGGGCCGATCATAAATGAGCTGGTAGCTCCTCACCATTTTAATGGTCTTATCAGAGATTTGAGTCATTCTATTATGACTGCAAGGATTCCATGGTTGGGATGGACCAGAATTATTTTCTTCTCGAGAAGCATTGCTTCTATCAAAGTTACTATCCTGCTAGGCTTTAGGTTTTTAAACAGCACATCATAGTCGAGGTTTTCTATTGATAAGCCTGAAAGTTGTGAGTTAAAGTAGCTTAGCATTTGTTGCTTAGCCAAAACCATCTTGGAGTTGTTGTCTCTATAGTAGCTCTCAGAATCGTTAGCACTGGCAATGGATTGAGTTTTGTTGGCATCACACCCAGACTCTTTGTCTGGTAGAAATAAAGGAATTTCTGTCTTTCTTCGTCTTTCTAAAACTATATGAGCCGGATCATATTCCTCGTCGACCTTGAGATGGTTGAGGTAGAGAGAAATCAAAAATTCTGTGAGGTAGAGGTCCTCTACACTTTCAGGTGTAAAATAGTGATTAAGTTGACTGATCCTCCTTCTTTTGACTTCAGTAGCATTCTTCTTAATTACTGCTTCATAGAGGTGCGATAGAAACTGCTTGTGAATGCTAAAGAACGGGTAATCTGAGAGACATCAGATGGCTATAGGAATAGTGTTATTCTCTTTTTGTCTTGAAGAAAGTTCTCATCTTTGTTCCAAAAGGGTTCTTCGAGCCAGAGTCGTAATCTGTGCAAAGGTAGTTCTTGTTTGTATAATCGTCAATATGAAACATTATTAATGTGATGTATTTATTATGTCCTTCTTCATTGGTGATAGTAAAGTGTACAAATTTATATTCTTTACCATCTTGTTTTTCGACATGCTTTAGAAAATCAATACTACCAGTGAGCTCTTCAGGCCTTGACTCCCTTATTTTTCTGTCTCCTCCAGTTGAATCATCAATGACAATGTCTAATATCAATCTCTTGTGTTCTTGTTGGAGGAGGCATCCATCAGTGCCATATTCTTGGGTGAATTTGAAGTTAGTAAGGGATTTATCAGGAGATATAAATGCTACATAATCAACAAGTCTTTTTTCCGTTAATTTTCTTTCCATTTTAAATTGATTCAATATATTTTATTAAGCATGGGGTTTTGGGGTTTTGGGGTTTTGGGGTTTTGGGGG